AAGTAAACCAAAAGTAGCCCAAGAAAAAAAACAGGAGTCATCTACAACATACAGTGTAAGGACTGTAATAGCCACTATGTAGGACAGACAGGCAGAAGACTATCAGAGCATATCCCTGAACACCAAATAGCAGTCAGAAGACATGATGAAAACTCCTTAATCTCACAACACATGGACAGACTCAACCACAGTTTCAACTGGGAAACCATGAGCATCCTAGACCAAGCTAAATCCAAAAACACTAGGAAATTCCTGGAAGGTTGGCATTCAGACACATCAGCCATCAACAGACACATAGAGATAAATCACATTTACACACCATTCAAAAGAGACAATAAAAAAGCTAAGGAAACAAAAAGACCAGAACATGTCCTCTCCAGCAACCAACACCCAGATAAACAAGGATTAACACAAACAAACCATCAAGCAGAAAACAATACCCTAATCAAGGAACAACCAAGGAAAAAACCACACCCTCACCAACACTGGCAGGGCAAGCTACTGTATATAAACAGGAAGCAAACCCCACACTCACTAGCACCGATGATGTTATCTAGTCAGGTAATGAAACATCTGCAAGCAAACAGCCAAGCTCAGAGAGCGCCAAGGACTCCACAGTTCAATCCTGAGCTACCTATATTTTCTTCTATTGGCATTAGAAGTTGCTTGCATTTTGGTAATATACGGTATACATTTTGATATAGTCAATGTTTGCTCTTTTCTAGATTTTGCTCCATGCATGAAACATTGTTTTTAGTGGTTTTTAGTGGTTTTTAATTATGATGTTTATTTTATTGTTAGCTGCCGAGTCATGTGTTGATTGGGTGGCCATATAAATATAGTAAATAAATAAATAAAAATATATTCACCTGAATGTGCTTACAGCCCTTTATGACAGCACAAACTCTAATTGTACAGATTTCACACTGTATTCCATTTTATAACGGAATTCACAACTGAATACCCTTCTACAGACTTCCTCATTAACAATGGAAGGTCAGTAACTGCAGCCTGATACTTCACTACTATATTTTCATGAAAGCATGAAAAAGGTTCAACAATCAGTATAATTCAAGTTCTAAAGTTGGTTGCAAACATAGCCATATTTTGAGCTGTCCATATACAATATATTGCAAGAGATCAACTGGGTCTGCATCACTAATTTTCACAAAAAAGCTGCTACACAAATCAAACTTGCTTACATAAACTACTGCTTATGGAAGCTTCATCATCAAAGATTATAGCAGCATCTTTAAACTGGAAGTCTGTTGTTTATATGAATAATGCAACCCTAGTCAAAATCCATTGATCTCCAAGCCCCAGTACATATATCTTCATGCAAAAAACTTCTACATGTTATGTAGGAATTTGAGCAAATTACTTACTCTTTGATTGGAATTTGTACGCTCAGAATTGCTAGCTTCCCTAACCAAGTGAAGAAGAACATAAGTCAGGTAATAGGCCTAGAAAAAAAGGAGGCAATATTTAGTAAAATGGTTACTTAGAAAAACTATTAAGTTTCTGGGTCTAAGGATCTCATCAGTTGTTTTTCTTTTTAGGTAATTCAACTTTTGAAGACCTTCATAAAAGCGTACATAGCCCAGACATTTACTGTATATCTCAGGAAAATTATTGCATATTAAACAAGTGTTAGACTTGAAAGTTATCAGTGCATAGCCAACAACAGCAGATTTACCTATCCTACTCTATTTGGGAAAACATACAATTATATGTTGAACTCTCAACCATCTTCAAATAGTATAACAACATTTATCTTCCTAAAACACAAGTTAGAACAAAACATGTTTATATTAAAAAAGGAAGGAATGTCGTCAAAAAAAAACTACACACATTGTGGGTTCCCACACTATTTGCATACTGGGACTTGTGTGTCAGATAGATTCTTTGGCAGTTGCTTCAAATGGAGAATAATCCTTTTCCCAGGCATAAATCACACAGAGTCTTCTTAACAGATTTATTGAAGTGAAAGGAAAAGGGTTACAAGAATGTCAGCAACTAAATAATTTACCATTTACTTTTTTCCCCCAAAGCAATCTGTTCCAATAAATAAAAGAGGAACTAAGAAAATTCTTGATTAACCATAGTTAGATCAGAGAGCCTCAATCTTAATATCAACATTTATAGATTATTCCTTTTCAGTGAAAGAATTTTCTTAAGTGAATTCTCCAGTCCATTAACATTACTCATATTCAGTCTGCTTCACCTAGAACAGCAGCCTGGTTATGTGACCTCAAGACCTTTTGAAATATGAGCACCTTTTATATCATCGACCATCACAAATATAGCTTACCACAGCATATCTTGTCTAACTCTGCTTTTAAAAAGACAGCAGCATATTACCTGGGGCTCAGATTGAGAAAGAAAAGGATTTTTAAGACCATCATGATGTTCTGAAGTTTCTGACAGACTCTTTAACAGATTTGAAGGTTTCATCTTCACTAGCTCCTCACATAGAAGGGACATCTATTGGGAGATTAGAGTGCAGTACAGCTTACATTATGGCTTTTTTCAACCTTGAGAAGAACTACCTTACAGCATTTTAAAAACAAAAATACCACAGCATAATCTCATGTAGCAGGGTCTTTTTCTCAAAATGTGTATGCATGCAGCTTCTGAAACCCTGATACCAGGAATAAAATAGGAGGGACTATCATAGCAAGAGGAATCAAGCTATATGAACACAGCAGCTCTGAGTTTAAATAAGGTAGATGCAGATTATACTCCCCCTTAATCTAAATCTTTGAAAATCTCCAGAAGACACATAAGAATCCAAACACCAGCCCTGAACAAACTGTGTCTGCAAGTTTAAATAGAAGAAGTACAGTTTCTAGGCCATGTTTAGCCCAGCAGGAAATGTGGATGTAGCTTACAAACTCTCTTCCACTTGGTACCTGCCCAATCTTCTCTCCCCTCAGGGCAGCCTGCTGTCTGCATTTTCTTCTTCTATTTCTTTCCCTTTCACTTCCTTTCTGCTCAATGTTTCTACTTTTTCCATTGTTTTTCTCTGTCTCTCTCTAATTCCCCTATCTGTTCCCTGTTTATTTCTTCTGCGTCCCTAAATCACTCCGACTTGCCTTTCTCCACAATCTCTGCCCTTTGCCATTCTAAATGCTGTGCCTTCTTACATCTTGCACTCACTCTGTACTAATAGTAAAATAAGCTGCAGCATTGGAGAGAGGAATTCTGCTGCAGAAGTAAATACAGAGTGGAGTCTATACCTGTGTAGATTGGAGAAATTAAACAATTAGAAATATTAAAATAATGAATATAAATAAAATATACATGTGAAATATAAAAAATAAAATAATGTCTCATCCACTTTCAGGGGTAGTTCTCAATTTGCTATGCAATAGTAGGTGCATGAAAGTTGTATGACACTGAAAGAGAAGTAATTTTTTCGTCCCAACAAAGAAATGGAGGAGACATGAATTAACAGGATGGAGAGATTACTAATGGAGTTTATACTCTGCCAATGAGCCCTACGCCTCAGCAGGTAGCAGCAGCACCAATCCAACCCTGGCAAAGTCAGCCCTGGTTACTACATTGGTAGGAGACTACTTGCGGATTCTAGGGCTGCAGGCTAAACTAGGAAGTCAAAAAAACATCCAGAAGAAAGCCAAGCAAAGTACCTCCACAGCACGTCAAGAAAGTTACGTGCACATGTTTAGGAAGTCACCAACAACTGAGCTAGACTCAAAGGAGATTTTATTTTAAGAGAACAATGCAAGCACTTAGACAGATGAACTCAAAAAACTAATGGGAAAAAAACCCCTCCACTGAGAAAACAAGTCTTAACTCCAGCAAACTACCATTCTAATGAAAGAATTTATACTGTACCTGTTCATCATGGTTACTGGGTATTTCCACATGGTTTTTAAGAAGCTTTAGGATTATTACCAAGCTAAGATGTTGTTTTATTTGTCTAGAAGAATAAAGTTGACATAAACGTAAATATATGAGCTATTATAATTAGGTGCTTTTTGCATGAATTCTGATAGCCATACTGAGTGGTACTGCCTTAAAAGTTTACCTTCCACGGGTTGTCCAACTGGGGACAAACTGAACAAGCCACAACAGATTATGATGGTGGTTGGATAGACAACTTATTGCCGAGGATAACTCAGACATCTTCTTAAAAGAGAAAAACAAATGTGTTAATAGAATTTGAAAACAATTGCTAAATCCAGTATCAGTATGTATGCAATTGTTAGACAATACATACAAATATTTATTCTCTTTAAAGAATATTCACAGCATGTGATTGTGATAGTAATAAGCAAATCCTATCAAACATATTTACTGAGAAAACAAAAGTTGGCTATCATCATTACAGCTTAAACTGTACCTCTCATAAGGCAAAAATATTTCCATTTAAGGCATCTAGTATCAGTTACTGGTAAATGATTTAAACTACATTTGTTTAGGTACATCAGTTCCACAAAACATAATTAAACCCACTAATTATATTCGCACATAATATACAATTAGGGTTTGTTTAACATCAGTTTTGCAGATGAACAAAATAATTATGAATTTTATAGATCATTCTTAGTTTGTTTTCTCCATTAAACAAAAATCCAGTCTGCATAACACTTTTAAAATTGGGTTTTGCTGCTAAAAATAAATTGTGGTTTCTTTTGGGGAGAAGGTTTGCACATTGTGGTACTCCAAAGTTATCAGGTAGTATATACATATGAACATTAGAGCACATAATTTAAAGAAAGCCTAAGATTAATCGATGCTAAGAGTTTTTATCAAACTAAAAATTGAATCTTCTCAAAATGCATTGAGTCTTAATGCATTGAGCAAAATGCATTGAGCAAATGCATTGAGATTGAACTTATCACAAATTAAGTTACCTCAGTATCCCAGTCTCTGATATTTTCCAACAATTTTATAATAAGGCACTCCAAGTCTACTAGTGGAAATTGCTTCAGCTCTGTTTCCAAACTCAGTTTAAATAGTAGCAATAGCAACATAAATATTTCTCTGTCCGTATATTCTTCTGGGCACACAGTTATACAGAGTCGTAGAAACTTAAGGAAGGAAAAAGGGAAATAATGGCTTTAAACATTTTTAGCAATGTTAATGTGTGTGTATATATATATTCTGAATGTGTCCTCGGTTCTAGTGAACTTTTTAAGGATAAAAAATTACATACTGATATTCACTGAATGATTAAAAAAAATCTTTAGCATGCCATTATAGAACTGGCAGCAAATACAAGTCACAAAAAATCAATATCCCATCTTCCAACTAATATTTATAGACACATAGCTTAAAGGTATCATTTGGAGCCTTATTACAAGTAGTATTTTAAAGTACTCATATGTTCCTGATAATTTCTTCTATCTCTAGAGAAATGTTTTCCTGTGCATCTTGAACTATTTTTGCAGGAAAATTCCAGCTACAACTAACAACTTTCATGTAAAGCAGACATATCCTTGCACTCAACAGAGGACTTTTAAAATCAAGGCAGCATTCTTACCTTTGCTATATTGCAAAGATTGCTCTCTATTAGAAGAAAGAAAGTTGTTGGGTTTATACAGATGTCTCCGTTCGATTGTTTCCTCACAGTTACATGCATCTTAGACCTGGTTAAAAAAGAGACTTGCTTGCTATATATATAATGAATAAAAATATTTATTACATATTTTTATTACATATATTCATTCACCTATGTAGCCTATTATGAAGGGACAACCTAGAAAGAATATTCTGTAGCTCAAGGTTTCAGGACTAATGCTTTTTGCACACTGTGGTAGGATGAGGGCCATACTGTAGCAGGCTTCAGATGCATGGTAGTCTGAGTTTCAGAAAAATCGCAAAAACAAAGGCTTTAGTGATCTTTTATGGTAAAGTAACAGGATATTTTTTTAAAAAGTGACCACTGTGGAGTCCTTGGGGTTCTCTGAGCTTGGTTCTTTTCTTGCAAACATTTCATTACCTGGCTAGGTAACATCTTCAGTGCTAGAATGGGATGGGGTTTGCTCTGTTTATATACTGTGGCATGCCCTGCCAGTGTTGGTGGGGGTGGGGGTTTTGTTTTATTTTTCCCCCCTCTGGTAGTTCCTTGATTAGGGTATTGTTTACTGTTTGATTGTCTGTCTGGTGATAATCTTCGGTGAGGAGCTGTTCTGGTCCTTTGTTTTCTTTTCTATTGTCTCTTTTAAATAGTGTGTAGATGCTGTTTATCTCTATGTGCCTGTTGATGGCTGCATTGCCTAAATACCAAGCTTCCAAGAATTCCCTTGCATTTTTGGATTTAGCTTGGTCGAAGATGCTGACAGTTTCACAGTTAAAACTATGGTTAAGTCTGTCCATGTGCTGTGAGATTAATCTTGCAAGAGAATTCTTGGAAGCCTGGTATTCAGACAAGGCAACCATCAATAGACACATAGAAATAAACAACGTCTACACACTATTCAAAAGAGACAAAAGAAAGGAAAACAAAAGACCAGAACATCTCCTCACCAGCAATCATCAC